GGACATGCTGAGCACATCTACAAAATAAATGAAATTATAAAGAAATTATCTTACTACCTGAGAAAATATACTTTTAAGAACTCACAAAACATTCATTCACATTATAATTAAAATTGCCCATTTTCTTTTTCCTCTGACTTCTAAGAAATTTAGAGATAATTTTAAGTTTCAATCATTTTTAATTTCAACTAGTTTTTAATGAGTTCTTATTACATTTTATCCTTTTTATAATTGTATGGGCTCCTTGGCAGCTATGGAATAGTGGGAAAACATCAAAGATATAAGTCCAAATACTTGATTTCAAGGCCCTGTCCACTTCTTACTTAACTGATTTAGAATTTGGTACTTAAAATTCTGAGTATCAATAGATTGGTGTAAGGAATATATGAAAAACGTGTGAAAAGCTTTGTGTACCCATTTGATATAATCTTTCCCAATTAATTATATAAAAAGTATATAGACATTTCTCTAAGGAAGACAATAACTGGCTCATCTTCATACAGTGGGAGTAGCAGAAGGGTAAGTAGGAGGAGAAATCATCATACTACCTGAACTCTAGGTTTCTTCCAACCCTGAGATCCTGTGATTTTTAAACATATATCATGTTTGACCTAAATTTCTTTAAATTGCCCCAAATTACTGGCGAGAATACTGACCTGATCAATAATTATTATATTGTTAGAGCTATATTGGTTGCATCAATATCATGAATTATTTTAAAGGGGCTATTTACTTCATAAACTGAGGCAGATATATCTATTTTACAGATGAAGTGACTGTGGCTTGGAGAAATTACTTAACATGTCCAAGGTTTTCAGGAAGAAAGGGCTAGATCTGAGCTATAGCAGATGGCATCATCCTTGGCTATAACAAATGTGTTAAAGCCTTGACCAATTACCCCAGGGTGCCATCAAAATATAATGTGCCATGATGTGAAAAAGTTTAGGAAGAAAGGCACTAAAGCATTCTAGCTTCCAAAAGACTAAATAATGGTATCTATTATATATGTAATCAAGATGCTTAATGATTTAATTGTCCAAGTAAATGCTCAATTAACCAAGCCAATAAAGACATTTCTAACCCTGTTTGCTAATTCATTAGTAAAAATACAATATTTTTTAGAGTTATAAAAATAGTATACATCTAATGCCCTTACAACAAAGGCAGAGTAAACACACTTACAGAAGATTTAATGTCCTTTGCACGATTAGCATACTTAAGAGTGTTATATGTGTCATCGTAGAACACAGAGGAAGGACTAACAGCAGCTATCATTATAGTTTGACAGTTTCCTCCAAGAGAATCCTTTAACAAGCGAGTGAGCTTACTATTTCTGTAAGGAATATGCTGATTCTTTCTCTGAAAGAACAAAAAAAGAATTCTTATGTCATTTTCCACATTTAAATGCAAACCTGCTATCACTTCACTCTAAGAATTTAAGCACTGCCCAACTTTGCAGAGACTTATGATATAATTGGTGATTGAAATGATGATGATGAATCTTATGGAACTATTGAGTGAATATATAAAACAAATATCCTACCTAAGGATTATATCCCCATCTCAATAAACGTTAGCTAATTAAAAAAAATCAATATTGGTTTATGAGTTGTGATCAGTACACCAGATAAATGTGAGATGTTAACAACTGGGAAAACTGAGTGTGGAGTATATTTAAGAAGATCTTTCCATATTATTTTAGCAACTTTCCTCTCTTAAAAAAATAAATGTCCATTAAAAAAAAAATCACCATTTAAAAAAAAATTAAAATACAAAAGTATTGCATGCCCTATACAAATATAGTAAGAATTTTGTATGGCATACAGCTATTTCTCTCATTAAATAATTAGCTAACATGGACATAAAGTAAATTAAAATTATAATTTTACAGAGACTTCATCTGAAAGGACAACAGAGTTCTAAGAGAACTTAATACTTCTAGGTTTCCCTTTACTTAAAAGATACAGTTCTGATTTTAAAGTAAAAATCAAAATTTCCAAAAAGCACACTTTCTATATAAAAACAAAACATTATAATGTTGAGCTAAAAGCAATCTTATGCTACCTAGTGTAGATCTTTCATATTATACAAAAGACTAATGGAAGCTAAACCAAAAGCGAAATGGCTTGTGTCGGGTCATGTGCCTGATAATTCAGAGCTAGAAATGCACCCGAGGTGCCCCAGTTTCCAGTAGTACTGTGCTTTCCACTATAGCAGTGTTTCCCAAATAGTGTGGAATGTATATTACTTGTGTTAACTTGAAATGATTTTACATGTACAAGTCCAAACGTTAAACATGGACTCATAAATGACTCAATAGGAGTCAATTATTAAAAATTTAGACAGTATGGAAAAAATGCTATAAATGGCTTAAGCTCAGAAAATCAGTCTCTTTATCATGCTATTTACACGTTTGAGATTTTAATTTAGAATATAAAAGACATATTGCCTTTGTAATCTTTATGTGATTTCAGGAACTTGCCTTTTTTAAAAACACTTCCCAAATCATTTTAATTTTATTAAATCAAAATACAACATTTTCCTAGCATTCATTGACCTGTATTTTCCTAAATACAATTTCTTAAATCTTGAACCTGGCTTGAACTTGATTAAAAAAAAAAAAAGTCATTTTTACCAATACAGAAATTGTTAAATATGCTGTATTCTAGTAAGCACTCCAGCATATAGTAGACGTAAAATATTTTTAAATGCCTCAAAGACATCTAATAAACATGACCTTATTAGGTGATTTGATTATACTTTATATCTTAAGCCCTTCTTCCTAAGAAAAATTAAAACTCTAACATTTAACCCAATCTTACAGTATATAAAATACAAACCAGAACAAAATTAAGCTTTTCTAAATGTTTTTCATATTCATCCCAATTCAATTATCATGCTTGCTGTGTAGTGATCATTAAGTGATCATTTTATTTTTTTAAATGTTTATTTGAGAGAGAGTGAAAGGGTGCATGAGCAGGGGAGGGACAGACAGGGAGAGAGAGAATACCAAGCAGGCTCCATGCCATCAGCACAGAGCCTGACACGTGGCTTGATCTCACGACCCATGAGATTATAACCTGACCTGAAATCAAGAATAAGAAACTCAACCAAATGAGCCACCCAGGTACCCCTAAATGGTGATTTTAATAATCAGGTAGAAAATAAGTGATGAGAAAGTACGATAAAATACTGACTATGAATATGATAGTCAATCGTTTTCTTTCAACAAATTCTGATTCTAAAACTAGAAATTAAAACGAAACAAAATATAGCTTTATTTGATATATTAGGCTTTCTGTGATCTTTGCCCTATATACAAATGACATTTGATTTATAATAGACCATAAAACAAAATTATTTTGGGGCGTCTGGGTGGCTCAGTCGGTTAAGCGGCCGACTTTGGCTCAGGTCATGATCTCGCGGTCCGTGAGTTCGAGCCCCGCGTTGGGCTCTGTGCTGACAGCTCAGAGCCTGGAGCCTGTTTCAGATTCTGTGTCTCCCTCTCTCTGACCCTCCCCTGTTCATGCTCTGTCTCTCCCTGTCTCAAAAATAAATAAAACGTTAAAAAAAAAATTTAAAAAATTATTTTAAGTAGTATCTTTCTAGGAATTATACATATTTCAGCATTTCAATATATTTAAATAAGTAAACATATGGCACCTACCTTTGCATCTGCTAAGGCATTGATAACATTCCCAAGAGCTAAGAGTGACCGATTAATATTTGTGCCTTCTATAAATCGGGTCCCTTTAGCACTGGTAGTACTGGCTCGCTCAGACCCTGCCAGATCAATGAGTGACATCTTGGCAATTCGTACATTTTGACTGATACTTGCTGTTCTGTCTTGTTGTCGCAAATAAATCTTTTTGAAATTACAGGAGAATAGGAAAAATGAGGATAAGGTTTAACAAAATTAAAAGAGAAATGTGCACTTTATTTTTAAAAGAGCATGAAATCAAAATTATTTTCATTTCAAAAACATACTGAAGAAAGTATAATATTCTGACTGGCTGGTATGTAAGAATACCAGAATTATGGAAGTTGAAAAAAACCTCAAAAGTGAGATTTCCTGTATGTGTACCAGAGGGCAAATGACTGTTGGCATGACAGAAGCTCAAAACAACTACCATTTGTGTTCTGGTAACCCTTGAACCAGAACATAGACTTACCAGTGGTGGTGGTAGGGAACAGGTATTCTAGAAATAATACTCTTTTTTTTTTTTTTTTTTAAATTTTACTTTATTTTTTATTTTTTAAAATTTACATCCAAATTAGTATATAGTGAAGCAATGATTTCAGGAGTAGATTCGTTAATGCCCCTTAGCCATTTAGCCCATCCCCCTCCCACAACCCCTCCAGCAACCCTCAGGTTGTTCTCCATATTTATGAGTCTCTTTTGTCCCCCTCCCTGTTTTTATATTATTTTTGTTTCCCTTCCCTTATGTTCATCTGTTTTGTCTTTTAAAGTCCTCATATGAATGAAGTCATATGATTTTTGTATTTCTCTAATTTCACTTAGCTTAATACCCTCCAGTTCCATCCATGTAGTTGCAAATGGCAGGATTTCATCCTTTTTGATTGCCGAGTAATACTCCATTGTATATATATACCACATCTTCTTTATCCATTCATCCATCTATGGACATTTGGGCTCTTTCCGTACTTTGGCTATTGTTGATAGTGCTGCTATAAACATGGGGGTGCACGTGTCCCTTCAAAAGAGCACACTTGTATCCCTTGGATAAATGCCTAGGAGTGCAATTGCTGGGTGGTAGGGTAGTTCTATTTTTAGTTTTTTGAGAAACCTCCATACTGCTTTTCAGAGTGGCTGCACCAGCTTGCATTCCCATAGAAATAATATTCTTAACAGAAAACCAAAGGCAGTGGTCAGAATGCTTTGCCTTTGTCCGGGGACTTTTCCTAAAGGAAAGGTGCATTTGATGTCGGCCTAAATTGGAGAGTAAATGTATTCTAATTCCCAAAATTGTTGTATGTTGTTATATTTAAGAAAATATCCCATATAAAAAAAAATAGTAAAATGTACTTGTCATGTTCAGCTCGTTGGCATACAGCATCGTTTATTGAGCCAATTTAGGCTACTTTATAGTTTAATTGAAATAAGCTAAGTGGCAAACTTAAAAGAGATGGAGAAGATTAGCTATTATTCCATTATAAAACTCTTTGCTAATATTCTTATAAAGCAGGGTCTAAGACATTTTGGGGAAATTTCAGTGTCACAGATAAACATTTCTCTCATGACCACTGATAAATGAAGAGTCATTGGAAAGAACAGAAAAGATTAATAAAATTTTATGGACTAGAGACTTTCTGAATGACTTGACTGCCTCCGATATGAATTCTTTCAACTATGTCAATTTCTTTTATAAGATGTGCTCCAATAATATAATCCAGAATGAAGCTATAAAATAATTTGTATTTTAACAGGACCAGAAGCTACAAAAAATAATATCTATTAACCTATGCTTTAACTCTTTCTAGAATTGTATTCCTAAAAAGAACTGTAACAATGCAATCAATGTCCTTCAGGAATGCAACTACTCACATAGTCCCTATGGTGAAATCTTTAGAAAGTGAATCAGTATCTCCCCAATTTATTGGTTCTGTAAATCTAGATCTATAAAGAGAAAGTTTGCTCTGAATATAAGGTTATCTTTAGAAAAGACTAAATATTTTTGCTAACTTAAAAAAAGAAAAACAACTAACTCAAGGAAAAAACCCTCTAACACTACTACCTTACTATCCTGTATCTTCACACATGTAAAACTTTATACTTCCGATTTACATCATCTCAATTTGGAATATTCTTGATAAAATCTTTTCAAAGCTGTAGAGTTAAGGAAATACTGAGTAAGGAGTCCACAGATGAAGGGATTTTCTTTGTATATGTGAAAACTACCACACATGAATTTGGCTTTGTTCATTTTAAATTGAATTTTAAGAGCAATAGTCTAATGGCCTGTTACCTGGAAAACAGCATGAGAACGAGAAGATGTGGCATTCATATCAGTGGGATGCTGTGTCCTATTTCTGTTTCCATTATCCAACAACTGTAAAATTTCCTCTGAGGACTTGGGCTAGAAAAGTTTAAGTAAAAGAAAAATATACAAATTAGCCATCTATCTTTGAAATTTTTAATAAACTTTCAACAAGAAAAAAGACTTTTAAAGATAAAAGGTAGAAAACGTTTTCTATAAATTGAATCCCATTAAATATTCCCCACCCCTCCCCTCCAGGAAATTGAAAATCTATGTGTAACTTATGATTTCCCCAAAGCTTTACTAATAATGTACTGTTGACTTGAAGTCTTTCCGATAGTAGGAACAGGTGATTAATACATATTTTGCATGTTACATGTATTATACACTGTATTCTTACCATAAATGAAAAAAGGGAATGTTATTAAGAGAATCATAAGGAAGAAAAAATACATTTGCAGTACTGTACTGTGTTTATAAGAAAAAATCTGCATATAAGAGTACGCGTTCAGCTCAAACCCATGTTGTTCAAGGGTCAACTATACTTTGTTTGGTGTTCTATGAGAAATAAAAGATAAAATCTTTTCTTTCTGTGGAGATAAAATATAAATGTATTATGCAGAACACATGGTATTAAATTTTCAAGTAGATTTTTAAAAGAAAAGGTCATTCAATTATTTCAAAGAGAAACAAAATAATACTAAAGATACACTCTGATTATTTTAACTCTGCACTTCATTATTTTTCTTCTATCTTGAACACAATGGAAAAAAAGTAAATGGCTAAATGATCACACTTGCTATTAGCATAAGGAAAAAGACATTCCATACCTGATGTAAAGTCAACCCCTGAACAACTACCCCTTTTTGGGCATCTTCCCGAACGGCAAGTGGTCCTGAATTTACTAAGAGGTCACGAATCTGTTCATTATATACCTTAAGGGGGAAAAAAACCCAAAAACAACTGCTTTAGCACTGATGTTGAAATAATAGTGATAACATCACATATGCTACTGATTTAAGGTTGTATTAGAATTACATCTTAAAGGTAAGCGTCAACTCATTTTCATTCATCTCACCCATTCTACCTCTTGTTGCCATTAATTTTCTATCGTCTGAGAAAACAGAAGTTTTATTACCTAGGTGTGCAACTGAAATTTAGAGGTGAGTCATTATATTCTTACTCCATAATTCCTAGTTTGATAACTACAGTGAAACAAATAAGATAGCTGGATGTGTCTTTTCCTATTTTCTGGAAATATATGGGACATAAGGTCTTGGGAGATTCTAGTAAGTTATATGGAGATGCCATGGTTCTTACTGAAGATATTTGTTATTTTATTATGCCCCAACAGTCAAAACTTTTTAAATTTTAGAGCTTAAAAGTTAAAGAAAACCCATACTCAGGGATATATTTCATTTATCTTTTAATTGCATTAAGTTTAATATGCAATTCTTAATAAGTTCCATAATAGGACCCCCCCCACCACACACACACACACACACACACACACACACACACACACTTCATTTGAATGATGAGGGGAACTGAGGCCCTAGAAGGTTAAGTGATTTGTCCATGGTCACAAAAGTAATAGCAGAATGGTGCCAAATAGCTTTACCCTACTGCATGGCGTTGAATACACATCTGTATTTTATGTCTCTGGCAATATATATATTTTTTAGTAATTTTGTAAGCAAGGCATAAAAATGGTACTATTGATTTTATGAATTTATCAAAGTTGCTGAATTTTCTACTTGCCAAACAAATGACAACTACAACTAGTGATAAAACTTAAACACATACGCGCGCGCGCACACACACACACACACACACACAGAGAATTAAGGCTTTAAGAAATATTTTAAGTTATTTCCATGTTCTAATAAATAGCCAATAGTGATACTTCATTTCTGGTAAGATTTTCTACAATGAATGATAATTTTTAAATGTAATAAAAATTTTGTTTTTTAACGTTTATTTATTTTTGAGACAGAGAGAGACAGAGCATAAACAGGGAGAGTCAGAGAGAGAGGGAGACACAGAATCCGAAGCAGGCTCCAGGCTCTGAGCTGTGAGCACAGAGCCCGACGCGGGGCTCGAACCCACGAGCCGTGAGATCATGACCTGAGCCGAAGTCGGATGCTTAACCAACTGAGCCACCCAGGTGCCCCAAAATGTAATAAATTCTTAAAAGTAGTAAAATCGAAAGAGATAATTTTTATTGGTTGTTATTTTTCTGATAAGCAGCAGTCACTTTTCAAACGCTTCCCCTTACCCATTTCAATCACACAAAATACACAATTAGAACAATCATTCTCAAGCCAGTCTACACATCAGAATCACCTGGGAACTTTTATTTATTTATTTTTTTTTAAATTTTTTTTTTCAACGTTTATTTATTTTTGGGACAGAGAGAGACAGAGCATGAACAGGGGAGGGGCAGAGAGAGGGAGACATAGAATCGGAAACAGGCTCCAGGCTCTGAGCCATCAGCCCAGAGCCTGACGCGGGGCTCGAACTCACAGACCGCGAGATCGTGACCTGGCTGAAGCCGGACGCCCAACCGACTGCGCCACCCAGGCGCCCCACACCTGGGAACTTTTAAAAAACCTAAGATGTCTCAACCACAATCCAGACCTATTAAATTAAAATGTCCAGGGGGTGATACCTAGGTATGTCTATTTTTAAAAAGCTCCATAGCCAACTTGGGTGCAGAGCCTGAGTGAAAAACCACTAGATTAGACATTGCCTTCCTTACCATTAATAACATGAAGGCAGATTAAAAGAAAAAACAATTAAAAACATTATAAAAATAACCAAACTTTAGAATTCCCCCAGTTATAAAAGGATCTAAGGAAGAAATAATGAATACTGCTATGCTCTTTCCCCAATTAAGTTCAAAGCAATTTTTTCAACACTTACTTATAGACAATGAGTTTTTTCAGCAACCTACATATCTTAATCAATTGTTGAAATGTGAAGAAACTTTCTCAGTAGGAACCAAACTACAAGATGTCAATAAGAGAGCTGTAACCAGTAGAAATGTTCTCTCCGATACCACAAACGAATAGGCAGTAAAATCACAGATTTGTTTCTGCACTGGTATCTGAAACACTATCTGAACACAAAGTTAAGAGTGCCTACCACCTAGTTATGATTTGTTGAATGTCAGCTATTACTAAGAAAGCAGAAGTCCTCAAAGAATGATGGCGTATGTCAAAAGGACACAAGAGAAACATGAAGGAGACCTGACTAGTCAAATCTAGCCTAATTTGAGCTTTAATTATGGAAAAGGTTTATAAGCTCTTAAATAATATTAAGAAACCATGAGTCCACACTGATAAAGAAAAGGAAAAGCTCTTTCTGTATAGGAGAAAGTGAGGAATGACTATAGATGAATATATGGAATTTAAGTATCACTATCATCTACCATCATAATAACTGATTCAGGCATGAATCATCAGTGGATGCCAATAGTAATAGATGAAAGTTTGAGGAGTAAGAGGATAAAGGGTAAAGTAATATCTTTATAGGGCAGAAATTTTGCCTACATCAACATAATGAAATGGATCAAAGTTAACCAAACCAGTAATGGGACTATAAGTTATGATACCATAAGAACTCAACATTACTTCTACGGTGTTCTTGCTAGTTTAGAACCTGAATCCAATTGCTGACTAACACAAATTAGAGGTTTTATGACAGTGACATAAAACAGAGAAAAAAAATCCAAATTAAAACTAAAGAGATATGACAATTGCATGCAACTTATGATCTTAGATTTCCTTTTTCAAAAAGGGCAACATTGGAATAATTGGCAAAATCTCATTAAGATTTATAGATTAGGTAATGGTGTTCTATCACTGTTAATTTCCTGATTTTGATAACTATTCAGTGGTTATTCTTGTTTTTACAAGTTTGTAACTTAAACAGATTAGAAAAAAGAGGAAGACACACACATACCAAGGGAAAAAACAAAGGCAGTAAAGGTAGTAAAATATGGGGGATCTGGGTGAAGGGTATCTGGAAGGTCTTTGTGCTAATCATGCTACTCAGAAATTAGGCCAAAATAACATACTCAGCAGAAAGAGATAAAGATGCATAACAAATACCTAAGAGCAGGAATTTCAATGATTTTATACATTCATAAGAAAATTCCTATATGATAGAATAGTTTGAATAGGCCATGGAACGTCTTAAAGATTTTGTAATACTATTGACTCATCTAAAGAATGATATTGTCAACTCACCTCCAGATAAGAAACTGCGGTACTACATACTTTCTCTTCTTTAATCTCCTCCATAGATTTGTAAAGGTCTAACATCGTTAGATACATCACTCCAGGTTCAGCAGCTGATCCTAGCATCGTGTGGGTCTTCCCAGCTCCAGTGGCACCATATGCAAGTACTAAATTTTTATAAAAGGGGATCAAAGCTCTTTATTACGACACACAACATTACTATATCCACTGTCCAGTGGAGAGTTCTATCTGTATATCCTGAACATAACCTTAAACTCATTAGATCCAAAATTAACTTCTAGACTTTTCCTAAAACCTGGGAATTTTAGCACAAATCTACTCTCAACTCCTGTATTCTTTATTCTGGTTAATGGTACCACTAC